CAACAACAACAACAACAACAACAACAACACCAACACCAACACCAACAACAACAACAACAATCATTTTACCCGAACGCGTGGTGTTCTCCCCAGTGCCAGGGTTTTCATACGACACCAGGCAATACCCCCACTTCGTGGGGGGGCATTACAAGCTCTACCAAATATCCAAACGACTCTTCGCGACCACCCAAACCCAGCTTCCCGCCCTATGACGTTGGGACACTTCACTTCGTGGCGTGCGGACGACCGTGGCTACTACACTGGCGTGGGGTACACACCCACAGAACCCAATGGTTTTTGGAGATTTCGGCGTGCGCGCGCGAAGAAAAAACGAATGTGTCCCGCATGGTATTATTTGACAGGGATGATGGCCCTGGCAGGTGCGCAACCGTTGTCGCAGAAGTTCGAAAAAGTTGCTCGCAAAAGCCCGTTTGACAGAAATGTTTAAAAAGTGTTGGGTTTCCTACGAATCCGCAAGAGCGCGCGGGATGAGATTTTGACATTTTTTTGTTGAAAAACCATTGGTTTTTTGATGTTTTTATGTTAAAATCGCTCCGAACACTAAGCTTTTGGAAGGATTTCGTCTTGCGCGCGCGAATGTCCACTTTACCTTATTTTTTGCAAGGGATTCTTGAAATTTGATTATATTAGAACAAGAAATGTCATTTTATAGTGTTTTTTGCAAGGGAAAGCGGGGGGAACAAAACAACCGGATCTTGATCACATCGAATTACCTGAGGCTTCCTCACGAAAATGATGAAAATGTAGCTGCGGCCTAGGCGCGGCGGGGGGGGCGTGCACCAGGGGGCCCAACAATAATTATTCTTTAGAATTAATAATGTTCAACAACAACAACAACAACAGCAGCAGCAGCAGCAGCAGCAACAGCAACAGCAACAACAACAACAACAACAACAACAACAACACCAAACAACATCCTACCCGCGGTTCCCTCAGCTACACACCCGGGAACAAAGAATGAGCGTTCGCCCACCTCATTCTGATTTTCTGGGGAATCGACAATTTAAGTGTGTCTGTGTGTCTTTTGTCCCTCCTGAGTGAGGTCGGTGTCCGCAGGCCGCAGGCAATGGGCAGATCGAGGAGGTGCAAATACTTGCGGGAGGGCCCAGAATCGAATCGATGAGTCGGATCGGCGATCGAAATGGATCGGATCGCCTGAAATCGGCAGCCGAGTCGGAAAAGGTCGTATTGGCGGAGATCGCGGCAGGCTTGTCTGCCTCCAGAGAGGAGTCGGAACCCAAATCGGAATCCCAAATCGAATCGAATCGAAATCGGAAGCCGTCGAAAGCGACTCGAATCGAATCGGAGAAACCGAAACGAGCCCTGTACTTGGCGGCGAGCACAAGGGGGTGGGGGTAATGGGGGACAGCTTCTCCGCAGGCGGCTGCTTCTCAGAAGGCGCCGGCCCTACATCTGCAGACAAGGCTCGCACCTCCTGCGAAGCAGGGGTGCTTCCAAGAATCGGGGGCGCGCACGCATGGAATAGCGATCCATGGATTTGGCGCGCGGTCGCCAAATCCATGGATCGGGGGAGGTGCCCTCCCCAAAATGCGGCCGGTGCCGCGTCGCTCGGCGGCGGAAATCCACGACTTCCCCTGGGAACGGGATCCGTCGCTAATCCACGCCCCCTTGATCCATGCTTGCGATCGCCTGAGAGAAGGAGCCCTCCCCCTCCCCCCCCCCCCCTGCCCCCTGCTGCACGTGGCCGACATGCAGCCGCCCCCTGGCAGAGCCTCTCCTCGGGCGCGGTGCGGCCAGGACTGGGAGGCGGATGCGGGGGCGGCGGCGAGGGCCCCCCAGGAGGAGGAGGAGGAGGAGGAGGAGGCGTAGGAGGAGGAGGAGAAGGAGAAGGAGGAGGAGGAGGCGGAGGAGGAGGAAGAGGAGGAGGAGGAGGAGGAGGAGAAGGAGAAGGAGGAAGAGGAGGAGGAGGGGCGGCGAACTGCCCGAGGAAGGGCGCGGCCACGGCCAGCCGTCGGGGGCGGTCCACGAGGGGCGTGCGTCCAAGGAAGGGGGTTCGCAAGCCATGGCCCGAGGCATCTGCACGTCCAGGGGGGGGGGCCGGGGCAAGGGAAGCGGGAAGAGGCGCTATAAAATCTGGGGAGGTGCCATGGCCCCGGACATGACATCCAGTCCCTCATCTGATAAGCAATAAAAATACCCCTGCTCAGTTGGCAAGGGACCCGAATTTCGAGGGCCGCATTGAGGATAACAGTTGTTTTGCATATTTGCCACACGAGGCCACTTATATGTTGAGGCATATCCCCTAAAACCGTGGACCTGACTTAGGCCGCGAACTCACTGTGTTATCAAGGTTAGAGGTTGTATTGCTTTATGACCATAACCAACCCCCCCTTCTTGAACGCCCGAAATTGGTACGGAAGAAACGGATACGATGCCCAACAGTTTTTTCCACAACCAACAGCGGCCGCTGTTGGGCAGGCGGCCACCTGCCTCAAATGGCCAACGTCCGCGTCGACACCGACAGCAACTCCTGCTCAAAACGAACAGATTGCTGTCGGTATTTGTACCCCTTCTTTCCATACCCATGTCGATCGCCCCGAGCTCTGGGGCGGGGCCCCAGGAGGCCGAGGCAGAGTCTAACACCAAATACTGTTCCCTCGCCCTGCATCCATGACCCGGGTGCTGCCAGAGGTGCCCCCCGGGATCCCCTGGGAGGCCTGGACTAGAGGCTCCCAAAGGGGGTCCGAATAGACGGGGTCGGAGGATCGCGCCGCATCGCCGACGTCGGCGACTCATCGGCGACGTCGGCGTGGAGAAAACCGGGCCCCACATCGAGCCGCATCGCCGATGCATCGACGACACAGCGAGAGCCTCCGACCCCGTCTACTCGGACCCCGTCCAGGAGGCCTAGGAACGAGGCCCTCGAGGGCTCTGTATCTGAGGCCTAGAAATGGGCACCAACACCAAGACAGGGGATTGCCTGCACAGGGGGAAGGTGATCCTAGATTTCGGTGTTGGTGGAAATATTTCGACCACCTTGAAAGCCAGAATATTACCACCATCACCGAGATCGGGATCTTCTTCCCTCGGTGGAGGCACACCGCTGATATTGGTGTTGGTGTCAACCTCTAGGCCTGCGACTGTACCCTTTCGGTCGTCCCGAACCCCGCCGCTCCGGAGGCCATGGCGGCCTGGCCTGCGTGCTGGGCCGCCCGAGCCCAAGGGCAGCTCGGCGCCTCCCAGAAGTGGGCTTCCCAGGCAACGTTGCTCTGGCGCCCCGGGCTCCCCCGGGGGGGGCGCGTGCGTGTCGTGCAATCAAGACTGCTGGGAGGCCCAAGGGGGCCCCAGAACGGGCCCAGAGATGCCTCAAAACTGCTTCCAGGAGGCCCTGCCAGCCCCCCCCACCAGCTCCCGAGACGCCCACACAAAAATCCCCCAAAAACTGCCCGAGAAACCCATCACGCCTCAACCGGGAACTCCCCACCTCTCTCGGGGGTCGGCGGAATGGCGTAAGCCACCTGAGTCGTAAAGATGCACGATGGAGATGCAAATGCCTTGGAAGGCCATGCCGACACTTTTCTCGAGCGGGGCGCGGCCAACGCGAGCGGCCGAGGATGGGCCGAAGGGCAGGGACGCGCGGCGAACCTCCGGACGCCGCGCATCCTCGCCAGCAGTGTGGACCGACCCCGCCTCGCTTCGCCACACCGCGGGGCGACGGCGCCCAGGCTGCCTAGTCTTAGGTCGGGCATGTCCTCCTACAGGCGGATTTCGGACGAACAATAGAACATACAGCAAAAATAATCAAGAATGGTCAACAAAATACTCACACATCGTCCCCCCGACTTTTTTTTTTTGCTATTTTGGACTATTCCTCCTGTAGAGTGACAGGCCCGACTTAAGCCTGATCGCCCGAACGTCCGTCTGCTTCGCCCAGGCCCTGCCGGGCACGTCCCCAATCAGAGCGCTCGGGCTCAGCAGCTGTGGGCGCCAGGCTGGGACGGCCCGCCGAGCGCCCCAGCGGAGCTCGGGCGGGGCGCTGCTGCTGCTGCTTCCTGCTGGGGCAGGGATGCTCACCCCTCCGTCTCCACCTCTTGCTTACAGTACTGTGATGGTCACCGCGACACGGGGAAGGGAGGAGGTGAGGGAACGGGAAGGGCAGGATAAGGAGGGGAGGGCGAGAGAGAAAGATGAACGGGACCAAGGATGGGTATACACTGAAGAAAACAGGAAGAATCGAACCAACAAGGACTACCTGCATAAGAAGACTACATGTGGGACAGAAGAGGATGGATGGGGAGGACGGTAACAATGAAAGAGAGTAAACGAGGGTGGAACCAAGAAGAGGGAGGCGGAGAGTGGGCGGGATGGAGAGAGGTGGGAGCGAGCGACAAGAGAAGAGAGATGAAGGGAAGAAACAAGGTGGATAAGGTTGGAGGAAGACGTAGAAGGACGAAGAGAAGAAAGGAAGGGGAATGAGGGAGGAGCAAGGAAACGGAACTGGAACCGATGAGGATGCAGGTGGGGATACTGTTAAACAATAAGATGCCGATGCTTTAAGAAAGCGGCGAATACCTATAAAATATGGTCCTCATCGGCCAACCAAAGACTAACGAACCGTAAGCAGGACTACGTTGCCGGTTCACAGCGGCACTACTTGAATCTCAGAAGGGGGAGACTTCCGAAGAAAAAGTGACACAAAATGAAAATGATCGTGACCAGAAGTGCAGGGTGTTGATCGTCAATGTCAAAAGTAGCGTCGAATCCCAGAGCATCTAACCTTGGCGACATTGTGAGACAATTCGCACCAATCAGAATGAAGTCGGCAAGAAACCAAATACCGAACCCACCCATCGTGACGCACTTGAGGATACCTAACGTAAATTGCCTGGCGTAGCATCGGTCAATACCAAAAACTCCAAGGCAGAAGCCGTTCAGAACAGCCAGCGCCATCTTGTTCACCACGGCTGGACCGCCGTGGTCGATGTCCAGCTCGAACTCGATGTCATTCCTCAATCTAGCCCACGTCCACGAATGAGCTATGCTGGTGGGCTTGTTTTCCACCGCCACCACCAGAAGTAGGAGAGGGATGGGGGTCCTCCTCCTCCTGTTCTTCCTCCTCCTGCTCCTCCTCCTCCTCCTATCCTATCCTTTTCTTTATGAATTTATGGTGGTGGTGGTGGTGGTGGTGGTGGTGGTGGTGGTGGTGGTAGAAAACAAGCCCATCATATGCCACTCCAGTCTGCAGAAGGCGCATCGAGGACCGACACGTTCTCGGTGTTGGCCTGTCTCAGCTGCAGCTGCTTGGAGGCTCTTGCTGCGCCACCTGCCTGGCGAAGAGCAAACTCGTGAGCGTCCAATGCAAGTTGTTGAGCGTCCAGACCTGTGCCGCACACGAACAGAAAGTGGTGCTGCAGCGCAATGAACAGTTGGTGCTTCATTACATCAGCTGGCGGGCCGCGAGGGCATGAGCCAGCGCGGCTATGGAAGTAAGGTGGAAGTGATGATGGCCATGGTGCTGAAGATGGCCCTGAAGATGGCGATTGGGGGTGGAATGGCAATGACGTTGGCAATGGTGGGACGCGATTGTGCGACAAGAAGGATGAAAAGGAGAAGGCAGACATGGAAGCCACAATAAGTTCGAAAGGATGAGGGGGAATATCATTGTGATGATGAGGGGCAGAAAGCAAGCAGGAGAAGCGACATGATGCAGGCAGGAAGGGAGGGGAGGCGAGGGCAGGTGAGGCATGGGAAAGAGGGGGGGGGGCGATGGGCGAGGAGGGGAGTGGAGGCCTGGTGTGTTGCATCGGGGTTGGATGCTACGCAGCGGGGCACAGGAAGGCGTCTGGGCCGCTCTTCTCCGTCAGCTGCGTCAGCCTGCGCTGCGGGCGTGAGCACGTCCCGTCCACGTCCTCCAGCCGCCCACTGATGGCGTCGAGCGTACCTCTGGTCGCCCTTCTCCGCCAGCTGCGACGGGGCCTGCACCGCGGTCTCACGTCACGCACCATCCAGTCTGCGTCCTCCAGCCGCCCAGTGATGGCGTCGAGCGTGCTTCGGACGCCCGTTCTTTGTCAGCTGGGTCAGGACGTCGAGCGCCTTGGAGCGCGTCCGCCGATGTTCACCCTCCAGAGGGCCCTTCAGCGCCTCAGCTGGGGAAGGAACACCGAACCAAGTCAAACTCCAACGGAATTTCGTCTGCGGCCATTCCGAGCATGTCCGCGTCGAGTTCGAGCGACACCCCGCTCTGCACAGTCACATGTTTGCCCAGAATGGCGGTGATGACGATGTAGTGGACAGACATAGTGCACGCTGTAGCATGACAACTCCCGCAGCACCTCCGAAGAGGATGTAGGATTAGCGACTTCCAGCGTCTGCAAATGGTTCCCTGACTAATTAATCGCTTCGAACGTTGATACAGCGCGTCGGTCCCTCGCTCTGGTTAGAGTTCGTACTCACCTCAGCGGCCTTCGCGGACTGCACTGCAGAGAGCAAAACAGCTTGAGCCAAGATGGCTTACGGACGAGGAGGGGAACGGCGGGGCGAGGGGAAAGGGTGGGGAGCCGGGGGTAGAGGAGGCGAGAGTAAGGGCGAAAGGATACTCAAAAGCAAAAGCAGAGGAGACGGCAGAGAAACGGAATAAGGACTATTTGACGTGACAAATGGTGGTCACGACAGCATCATCACGCCGTCGCTGACGATTGCAACGAATCAATGCGTTCGAGTCACATCTGCTTGGGGCACATTACTAAGGATTTGATGACAAACAAACATTGGGAAAGAGCGCCAGTGGATTACATGGTACCTGCGGAGGGGGGGGGGTTCTCGACCCCCCCCCTCCCCCCCTATTCCCCGATCCGCCGTTCGGACCCCCCCCGTGTCCTTGAAGGGGGGGTGGTTCAACAATTACACAATATGAAAATACTCTCCCACTTCCCCTGATGGCGTCCCGAAGATATCCGACACCCCCCGCGCATTGTTTTTTTAACACACAGGATTCCCGGGAAACGGGTTTTCGCTTGTGTTTGTTTTTTTCCCAAAATGCTGCTCTCGTTGAGGCGCCGGCCTCATTTCTGCTCCCGAATCGTTCCGAATCGTGCTCCCGCTGCAGCGTGGGCCTCATTTTCGGATCGGTGTTTGGCCTCCGTCGTTCAGGATGGCGTTCTCGCCCCAGCGCGGGCCTCTTTCTCGCGCGCCCATCCGCCCGCCACCACCGCGCCGCACCACCACCACCACCACCACCACCACCACCCACCACCACCACCCACCACCCACCACCACCCACCACACCACCACACCACCACCACCACCACCACCACCACCACCACCACCACCACCACACACGCACGCACGCACGCACGCACGCACGCACGCACGCACGCGCACCACCACCCACTACGCACGCGCGCGCGGAGCCACAAGTCCGCTACGACACGCGTCCGCGGATAGAGAAAATCAGCGCCATGGTAAGGGATGGGAGGGAGGGGTAGGACGTCAGATATGACGCGAGCGCAACTAGCTTGACCCCCCCCCCTCCCCCCCCACCCTTGGCGCTGGAGAAGGGGGCCCCCCCCCCCTTTGCGCCAGACGGGGAGCCGGAGAGCGGGGAGACGCAGCGGACAGAGGGAAGGACGCGGGGAGGGGAGGAGGGACTCGGGGTGGATTTCTGGCAAACCGACCTCCACATACAAGGGGACTCTCGCTGGCCAGCGATGTCCGATCTTCGGGTTTCGGCGCTTTGGGATTACGGCTTGGGGCTTAGGGATCAGGGCTTTAGGGTTCGTGGCTTAGGGGTTAGAATTCGAAGCTTAGGGTTTAGGGTTCGGGGCTTAGGGCTCAGGGTTGGGGCTTAGGGCTTAGGGTTGAAGGCTTTAGAGTTTAGGGATTTAGGGTTCGGGGCGTAGGGCTTAGGGTTCGGGGCTTACGGACTAGGGCTTCGGGGCTTAGGGCTTAGGGTTCGGGGCTTACGGACTAGGGCTTCGGGTTCAGGGCTTAGGGGGTAGGGTTCGGGGCTTAGGGCTTAGGGCTTCGGGTTCGGGGCTCAGGGATTAGGGCTTTAAGGTTCGGGGCTTAGGGATTGGGTCTTAGGGCTTCGGGTTCAGGGCTTTAGAGTTCGGGGCTTAGGGATTAGGGTTCGGGGCTCAGGCCCGGGTTCATGGCTTGAGGGTTCGGGACTTCGGGGTCAGGGTTCGGGGCTTAGGTCTTAGGGCTTAGGGTTCGGGGTTTAGGGATTAGGGCTTCGGGCTTAGGCGTAGAGTTCGGGGCTTAGGGATCAGGGCTTAGGGCTTAGGGTTCAGGGTACTAGGCGTGGCCACGAGTACACCTGGACCGCGAACGCACCTGCGGTGGCCGTCACTCCCGCCCGCACGCCACCCCACCGTAAAGATCATCTCTCCCCTCGGTATAACCACATCGACTACAGCGTCGACGGCGAGGACGACGACGACGGCGACGAGCGATGTGCGATCCAGTTGGCACGCGAGTGCGTTAACGGGCGGGAAGAGCCGGGTCGGGCGGGAGAGAGTCTCCACGCATGCGCAGGAAAGGCAACGTTGTGGAAGAGATGGATCGGGGTCGCACTTTGTATTGTAAAATACATGAGATTCTGCGCGCGTGTTCGGGAAATGTTATTTTCTGCATCAGATGGAGCGGGGTCGCGACGAGGGACGGGGTCTTTGTAATGTAAAATACATGAGATTCTCCACGCATGCGCAGGAGATGCTATTTTTTGCCGTAGATGGAGCGGGTTAACATAATTGGTTGCAGCGGGGGCTTGGCACTTTCTAATGTAAAATACAAGAGATTCTGCACGCATGCTCAGGAAATGCTACTTTTGCAATACATGGAGGGGGGTCGCAACGGGGACTGGGCACTTTGTAATGCAAAATACAAGAGATTCTGCACGCATGTTCAAGAAATAATATTTTTTGCAGTAGATGGAGCGGGGTTGCATACGGACTGGTTGTATGGTAATTAGGATTTAATCATTAAACGATTAGAAATTCAAGGCTGTAGGGCTCGGGGCTTAAGGATTAGGGCTTAGGGTCTACTAGGCGCGGTCATGAGTACACCGCGACCGCGAACCCACCTGCGGTGGCCGTCACTCCCACCCGCACGCCACCCCACCATAAAGATCATCTCTCCCCTCGGTATAACCACAGCGAGCGCAACGTCGACGACGACGACGACGACGACGACGGATGTGCCATCCAGTTGGCACGCGAGTGCTCTAACGGGCTAAAGATGCTGCGCGCATGCGCAGGAAGCGCGAGGTTGTCCAGGAGATGGAGGCGGTGTACATAAGGGGGTCGCATTTGGTATTGTAAAATACAAGAGATTCTGCACGCATGCTCAGGATGGAGCATGCTCATGCTCAGCAAATGCTATTTTTTGCAATAGATGGACCGGGTTTACATAACGGGGTCGCAACGGGGGCCGGGCACTTTGCAATGTAAAATGCAAGAGATTCTGCGCGCATGCTCAGCAAATGAAATTTTTTGCAATAGAGGGAGCGGGTTCGCAACGGGGGCCGGGCACTTTGTAGTGTAAAATAAAGGAGATTCTGAACGCATTGCCCAAGACATGCCATCGTTTGCAGTAGATGAGGCCGGTTTGCATACGGACCGGTTTTAGGTTATTCAGGGTTTAATAATTATAGGATTAGAAATTCAGGCTTTAGGATTCGGCGCTTTGGGATTACGGCTTAGGGCTCAGGGTTCAGGGCTTAGGGTTCGGGGCTTAGGGCTTAGGGTTCAGGGCTTTAGGGTTCGGGGGTCCTGCCATTCGGGTGTCCTCCGCTCTGCAAGCTGCGCTTCACCGAGAGCTGGGCCACGACATGGCCAGGTACCTTGGGTTGTGTTATATTGGGGACTTCTGGGACCCCCGCAAGTTTTTTCACACTGTCGACCCCTGTCGCCTAGCTGGACTCGCTGCGAACATGAAGTCCCCCCCTGTTCCTCTTGTATTTGGGGGTCGTGCTGCGCGAGGCTCCTCGTATCCTTGAGGTCCAAGGGATTTGTTCTGGCCTATCCCCACTGGGATGGGCATCTTGCCGCGCTGCGTCCAATCCATGCTGTGGGGGAAATTTCTACTTGCATGACATTCTGGACCAGGCTCACGCGTCCTTCTTGCCTGTCCGCATCAAGGGCAATGTTGATGAGATCACTCAGACGCAGCAGGGTACGCGCGAGGAGATCCTCGCATCGTTCGCGCCTGCCGCAGTGCACCTGCGCCACCAGCTGAAGGCCGCTGGCACTGCCATCGCCGACAAGAATACGCTTGTCTGCCCCCGCAAGGATCTCGGAGCCGAGGTCATGCAGAGGTTCATGTCGGTCAACCTTCCCATCAAATTGCGAGCTTCGGTCCGAAATCTGGGGTCATGTCTTCAGCGGGCGTCCGTCGCAGTGTGAGCAGGCTCCGCCAGAGGCGTGCTATTGCCTACCGTAAGAATAAGAAGGTGCAATGTCTTGCTCGGCTTGTCGGCCGAGCGAGCAAGTTGCACAGGCCTGGGGCCCAGGCCGCGGGATCGCGGGGCCACGATGTCTTCGGGCTGCCCCCTAGGCAGGTCAAGTCCATGAGGGATCAGGCCGCCGCGTCCTCTGGTTTGTGGGCTCCTGGATCGTGCGCCGCCACCCTTCTAGGCTTGTTGGGGGACGCGAAGGATGACCCCCAGTTTAGGCTTCGCCATGCGCAGCCTAGTGGATGGGCTATGGCTTGGACTGGTCTGGATCAGAAATCCCGCAAGTTGTGCGCTGATTTATGGAACAACATCACTGCCAAGATGGATCGGACCAAGCATCGCTGGCAGATTGTTAAAAGGGCCGATGGCGGCTACCATTGCAATGCTGCGCGATCTAGGCTAGCAAGCCGTGTCACCAGTGCACCGGCGTACGGAAGATTCTGTTTTGAGGTTGCACGAAGACGATTTCCAATTTCAGCTTTGGGGTTCTCTGTTGAAAACCTCTTCCTCCTTGTCCTGGGGCCAGGCCTCGAATCATTTTTCTGGTGCTGGCCTTAAGAGAGGGGTGGAGTTCACCCCTGCGCGTAGGTTCCCCGCCAAGCTCGCGTGTGACGGCGAGCGCGAGTCTGCTGGGATCCTGCGAAATGTTATTATCGCGGGGTCTTGGCCTGGGGATCGGTTGCGCACCGCTGGTTATGTCTCTGCTAGCCAAGGGCTTTGTGGGAGGTGTGGAGTTGCCCCTGAGATCCCGCTGCGGAGATATTGAAAGTGCGAGTGCAATCGAGATAGCCCTGACCATACTATCGAGATGACCGACCCCCTTGCCCCCAGGGCCGTCGCTGAAACTGGCAAGGTGAGTTGTTAGTGCCGAGGGCTCCCGTCGTTGGGCGACTCCTTGGGCCACCTCCCCCCCCCTGCGTCTTGCGTGGGATTGGGGGAGATGCATCGAGGGGGGGCCTATCCGCGGGGGCGCGTGGGGGACAGACGGGCCAGGAGGCAAGTTCTCAAAAGACTGGGGGCTCAGGAGATGCGGCCGGTCGTTCGTGCACCTTGGACCTGGCGGCAGCATTGATGCTACTCGGCGCGGTTCAAGGCCGCGCGCGCGTCAAGCGTCTCCGAGAGCCGAACTATTTGCACTCATCGAGCTCTTGCGCGCTAGTGTTGGCGACGTCCGCGCATGTTGCGACTGCCTGCTTGTCGTGAAGGGTGTGAGGAAGAGCCTCCGAGCCACGCGAAAATCGAGCATGTTGGACCCCTGGTCTGAAGTTCACCGTGCACTTTCTGAACGAGGGGGGTCACTCCAACTGATCTGGACCAAGGGGCACCCCGCCCAAGCCGAGGCCGAAAGCATGTGCTTGTCTGACGTTGAGAGCTATCTCAACAAAGCTGCGGAGAAGGCCCAGTTGAACGAAGCCCACGCGCATCAAACTTTGCAGGCCGACGGGCTCGCAGCGCAAGTTTGGAAAAGGATGTTGGCCTTTCAGCGTGAAGTGTTGCTTTCCCCGGGTCGAGAGTGGGGCGCCCTCCGCGAGCCGAAGCGAACTCGTGGAGCGGCCACCGCCCTGGCCGAGCGAATTTGTCGATTGCGAGATTCAGGGCATGACCCTGATGTGCAGAGGGCCTGCACCAAGTGCAGGCAGCGTGGGCTCAGCCATGGCCTCAAGGGCCAGCTCGCTGGTTTTTGGCCCACGCCGTGCAAGCCCATATGCATCATCCAGCAGCGTGTCCAGCTGCTGGGGCCGCGGGAGGTGAGGGGCGAGTATGGTCCTGACCCTGCCCCTGACGCCCTGAGGCCGTCGGACTTGTTTGGGGGTGCCCTTGACCACCCCTTGGCCGACCGCTGTCACCCCTCCCACTGACTGTGGGTCCTACGGGGTGTCTTTTTTTGCACGGTCTGTGGGGGGGGGCACTGTTCTGCTGCGCCTCCCCACTTTCTGACATGAGTTTGCGGCGACGCTTCGAAGGCTGGGCGCGAAGTGCTGTCACGCCTGCATAAAGGGGGCTGCCACCAAAGTCTGGCACGTCGTTCCCTGACCGAAGCTGGTTTGTTGTTTGAGCGGCCTGCCTAGAGCAGGACCCCCGCCTTATATATACTTAGAATTAGAATGTTTACAACCATGTCAACTGCGACTAATCCTTATTCTCCTCCTGCCCACCGAGGAGCGGCCGCGCCGCGTTCGCCGCAACATCGCTCCCTGCACTGGCACTGGCTGGCGCACCTGGTGGGTTTCTGCCCCTCGGACTGTGCGCTCTGTCTGCCATTACCATCACGTGGCTCTCCGCGGCTCGCCAGCTGGATCTCAAAAGATCAGCCTGTTCGTCTCTCCATATCGCCACCAAGAAAGTGCACCGAAAGGGGGGGGCCTGAACTTCCAAAACTTGCTTGATCGCATCCGGGTTACCACCTCCAGTAGCCTTTGCCTTGCGACACACGGAGGATACACACCAGCGTGTGTGATGAGTTTCGTGCTCTACTGCTCGCGTCGCCTTTAATTGTGCTCTGAAGGGCCACCGTCTCAGTCTTGCGCTCCTCAAGCTTGCAGACCGCCTCTACGAAAATTCAAGTTTGCCTCAGCAAGTCCCCGCCCTTGCGCACCCAGATGTGGCTAAGCATTCTGGACGCTTGCCTCCAGCATGCTGGTTGTCTCGGTGTGGTAGCCAAAATGCTCTTTGGTCTTTGAAGTCTGCCCACTGACCACCAAGAAACGCTGACTCGCTGACTCGCCACTTCCTCTCTCGTTCGCATAGCCTGCAACTTCAAATGGATGGCGGAAGCCGCTTCGTTGTCTGAACCTGCGACTCCTTTCGCAAACTCAGCGCGCGCAAACAGAAGCACTGGTATAACGTTGCCCAACTGCGGCAGCCGGCGCGGGCTGACGTAGAATTATGCATGTGGTGTTCTTTCCACCTTGAACTGCTGATTGGGAATGTCACTGCGGCGGCCAGAACATTCAACGCGACCCTCATCACCACGGCCATTGCTGCTCCCACCAAGGCTCCTTCCGTGGCCTTCTTATATGCCTGCCCTGCTTGCCGTCACCTCTGCGTTCTTTCTGGTGGGGTACGCCTCCTTGGGGGCTGCCGCAGCCTCCGATGTGAGCGTGCCACCACGCAGTCCTCGGCCTGGCGCAGGCCACAACGCCAGCTGCAACGTAGGCGTTGGCTCGTCGATGCCGCACACTCGCCACATTTCCAAAAGCACCCTCGCGGGGCGCATTCGCCCAGCTTGCCCGTGGCGGGAGACTCCACTGGTGGGGGAACGTAATGCGCAATCTGGTACCTGCGTGTGTGCCCTCACGCTGGGCCTGAACCAGCTGAGGGTAAAAATAAAAGATGGGTCAACCCTGGCTGGACAGCCGTCTGGTCTGTGGGGCCCGAAAGGCGTCAGTCTCTCAACCGCCTTGGGCCAACATGATTTGAACCAAACTGGCTACAATGCTCGACTTTGTCCTCGTCTGCCAACTCCTCCTCTTCCTCCTCCTCCTCGTCCTCCTCATCATCATCATGTTATTCATCCACCTCGTCCGCCACAATCATCCTCATCATTTCCTCATCATCGCCCGCCTCCTCCTCCTCCTCCTCATCATCATCATCATCATCATCAGCAGCATACTCATCAGCATCATCATCAGCATCATCAGCATCAGCATCATCAGCATTAGCATCATCATTATCATCAGCATCACCAGCATTATCAACATCAGCATCAACATCAACATCATCGGCATCATCATGTGATTCATCCCCATCGTCCGCAACAGTCCTCCTCCTCATCTTCTCATCCTCGTTCGCGTGTTCTCCTGGTCCTTACCATCCTCGTCATCAACATCATCATCGATTCAAATAACGGCCACCAGGAATGCTGGCCCAACCAAGTTGGCGGGACTTGCCGCAGGCAGATGGTTTATGTATAGAAAACAATGTAAGTATCGACCAGACGTGCAATAGTCCAGAACATACACTGGTAGGCGAATCATGCACACAACTATCGTCGACATGGCCGATGGACAAACTCCGAACGCAATGGAGCTCGTACAGTGCCAGCGTGACCATCCTAGACAAAACGACGCTGTCGATGACGAATCGCCCAGGGGGAAACATGGCACGGGAGAAAAATACCATCAAACTCGCGATGTTCAGGACGATTGCGCTTTCGAATCCAACCTGCGACAATATGATGCTGCCGAGATCCTTTTCAATTGCGAAGGCCTTACGGCCGGTGCCGCAGACCCTGAAGGGGATCGACGGCGAAAACGGCGGCGGCCGCGACGACGACAACGACGACGACGACGACAACGCTTATATGGCATGGGCCAGAGGGATGCTCCTTGAGGTCTCTTCAGAAGGCTCTCGTCGGCCTCTGAGGAGGAATTCTGGGGCCTCTTCTTGGGAACCTCTTGGAAGCCTCTCAGGCCTCTTCAGGCTTCCTGGGGATCTCTTGTGGGCCTCTTGGGGCCTCTTTGGAACCTCTTGGGGCCTCCCGGGAGCCTCTCTGGGCTGAGGGCTCGAAATGTCCGTTCGGGTCCCCAATCTGGGCACGCCCTTGGAGCCGCCGTTTTTTTGTTGTTTCTGCGACTCGCGTCCGCACGCTACAGATCTTGTGCGAACTGTCGGCGCGATGGGAAGCTGTCCTGACTGGAGACGAGGACTCGAAACTAATGCTAGCTATGTGAAGCAGGAGGCGCTTGAGACGGTAATGGCCATGCCGGCGGCGCTGGCTCAGGCGGTTGCCTGCCGAGCGAGAGAGAGAGAGAGCGCGCGGCTGAGGCATGCATCTGCCAGAACTCACCGAACACAGCCAGCACACACCGAATATGTAGCCTGGACCCGCAGGAGGTCCCCAATCCCCAGACAGCGAAAATATGCAATGCCCATGCGAAACGGTACAGGCTAGAGCAAGAGCAATGCACGCCGCCCCTTGCCGTTCAAATTCGGAGCGCGAGGGAGAGGGACAGCGAGGGATAGAGAAGAGGAGAGGGCGAGAAAGAGAAAGAGAGAGAGAAAGAGAAAGAAAGAGGGAAACAAAAGTAAGCACATGTGCGATGCCACCCACAGCCTTCGCAATCTATGAGCGATAGCATAACAGACTAACAAAGAGAGTGACAGACTGCAATGCACTCATAGGACTTACCGTCCAGCAAGGGCGCCGTTGTTCACTGGGCTCAGGTCTCGTCCTCGCAATGGGCGAAGGGCGCCAGCCCAATCATCTCCTGCGACCGCGGAGAGCGGGCGCCCTCGCCGCCCTTGGCCCGGTGGAGGGCTCCAAATATCCATCGCGAGCCAGATGTTCGGGCCGTCCGGGCCGATAGCACCTCAGCAGAACCTTTCGCCGTTGAGGTGGTCCAGCACCCCCTGGACGGCAACGAAGACATCCTCGGCATGGCCAACCAACTCCTGCGACTCCCACAAACGGCCCGACAGCCCGCGCGCTGCGGCTCCGGCGCCCGCGACGCCCCGCCAGAGCAGCGGGGAGGTGCTCCCGAGTCGAGGTGCTCCACGGACGAGTCGGAGCGCGAGCTCCTGCTCGAAAAGCGCTTGCACGAGCAGCTCGTGTCTGCGCCCAGCACGGGCGTCAACGACTCCACGCGCTGGTCCTGGGCCGACCTCCTCCCAACCATGGGGCTCCTGGCCCTCGCGCCGGAGACGAGCAGGGGTGCCGCGGCCAGGCCGCCAGGCCCCTCGACTCCTGTGAGAGATGCCTCCAGGTCCTTCGGCACTGTGAAGGGGTGGGCCAGGTCCTGGGGATCTCGTCGGACAGTCTGCGAACCCGTGGAGGGCCGAAATGACGTCCAGGCAGTGTCGACCGTCAGGCCGATGCCGCGACGGTCCGCCAGGGGCGCCAGCAGGCCACGCCGCTGCGCCAGCGAGGGGGCCGAGGACAGCGCCGAGAGCGGAGAGTCGTCGGGCGGCAGCGTCGAACCACTCGGGGTCCTTTCACTCGGCGGCGCCGCTGTGCTGGACTTGCTGTGCGACTGCCACTCGCGGTCGGCCGATGGCGAGGCGCAGTCGAGGGAGAGCTTTAGCCTCGCCTTGAAGTGTTCGATGCCTGCCAGGCCAACGGCGTCAGCCTCGCCAGTCGCCTCCTGGGCGTCGCAGGTCATCCTGCGCATGGAGGAGTCGATGGGGACGCGCTCCTCCTCTCGCGGCGGGCCTCGCCCAAGATCGGCTGCCATGCCGGCGGCCGCGTTGCGGGAAGGAAGAGGCAGGTAACTGCGGCGTGGCGGCGAGAATGTGCGCAACCTTCGCCTGCTGCCCGATGCTTGAGCCAAAATAACTACGGAACGCCCTTGGAGCCGTCTTGGACTGTGTGGGGGCCCTCTTGGACTCCTCTTGGGCCATCTTGGGGCGATCTTGGTGACCTCTTGGGCCGTCTTGGAGCGGAAAAGGCGAGAATGCCCAAAACCTTCAACATCAAAAAAGAAATCAATGGATTTTGCATCGTGAGCCCCTTCTCGGGAGTGCTCTTGGAGGCGTCTTGGGATGTCTTGGCGGCCTACTGGGCAAGCTGGAGGGCGTAAAAGCGTTTTGGACAGACATGTTGGCGATTGGGGGCCCTCTTGGACCGTCTCGGTGGCCTCTTGGGGCACTCTTGGCCTGCCTCAAATGCTGGTGAACATGCGTACGTTCACGCTCCTACCACAAGGTGGCATGCATCTGCTGAGTCTTGTTGGCCAAGGTGTGATCAGGCACGAGGCAGATGTGGAATCCGACACGTATGCACCACGCGCACGTTCTTCAGTGCCTGCAAGGTGTTGTACCATACGCAACAATACCTGAGCTATGTCTGCAAGAGGCCAGGCCGATTCGTGTAATCAAATGTGTGTCACGCGAAGCTGCACTGACAATACGTCAGAATTTAGTGCGAGCTTCTGTTTGTACCCGCAGAATGGCTAACTCGGGGAATCGGGCGGAACGCGATACGAGTCAGCACCATGGACCCGCTATGATATTCCTACTCCACACGGTCAAATACTAAAACGGCTCACATCCGATGAATACGAAGCAAGCGAGGGGGAAGCATGAGCGGAGTGGTGTGCGCCCCTGGCTCCCTCGGCAAAGGTTTGCTCGTCGAGCGCGCTGGATTCCAAGGCTGACCGTCGTGGATGATCATGGCATGACCCTGCAAATATTGTTCCCCACTCTCCCGCCCCCACGCCCATACTTCTCACATCCTTTACTCATCCGCTGTCCTCCTGCCTCTCCATAAAAAAACGGTGACGACAACTGCACCGTTCGACCGCGGTCGTATGCAGCCTGGGCGCCGAGATCGGCCCCGCTACTCTTCTCGCCTCTCGAGAGGTGGAGCCTCGTGGAACCTCCACTCGGAGCTTATCCTCCCAACTCTGATGGGGCCGACGATGCGAGGCGGACCCGTAAGATGATTAGCCATACAAGGACCTCTAACCCTTTTGGAGGGGACCTAAGTTAGGAGGGCCAGAAAATTAGGGATATGGGGGTCGTCTCTGCAGATGTATCGAATCAAGCCGTCCAGAAAGATTAGCGCGAGTAGGCTGCATCTTAGAAGGCGCGGGCCTTACATCAACAGACAAGGCCCACGCCTTCTAAGAAGCAGGGGGTTTTCTCAGAAGCCTCCCCCCCTGCCCCTACCCCGCGCTTTGGTTTCTTATAACGAACAGCGCATGCCAATGCTTGTGCAGCACTCCGTTGTATTCCCTACCTAGGCTCTGCCTCGAAGGGTTCTTACTCTCTAGCTTAAAGGGGCCGGGCAGTGCTACACGCCCCGGGCGGTTCCCCCAGTCCCCGCCCCGCGGTTCCCCCCAGTCCCCTGGGAGCTTGAGCTTTAGCTTTAGCTTTAGCTTAGCTTTAGCTTAGCTTTAGCTTAGCTTTAATTTAGCTGTAGCTTAGCTTTAGCTTAGCGTTTCGCTTAGCTGTTCGCTTAGCGTTTAGCTTAGCTTTAGCTTAGCTTGAGCTTAGCTTGAGCTTAGCTGTAGCTTAGCTTTAGATTAACTTTAGCTTAGCTTTAGCTTAGCTGTAGCTTAGCTTCAGCTTAGCTGTTGCTCAGCTTTAGCTTAGATTTAGCTTAGCTTTAGCTTAGATTTAGCTTAGCTTTAGCTTAGATTTAGCTTAGCTTTAGATTAACTTTAGCTTAGCTGTGGCTTAGCTTTAGCTTAGCGTTACTGTTACTACTAATGCTGCTTTCCTAGGGGTTCCAACTCCTAGGTAGGGTCGCACTGGGATAATTTCCAAGGGGGAGGGGACGGGTCCTCGCGGGGGGGGGCCCTCGTTGCCTCGGCGCCTCGAAATCCTGGCTGGAGTGCACCCCAGGAGGGGGTCTGGCGAGCAGCGGCACCGGCATCCCCCCTCTCAGCATCGTCAGACCTGTCCACCTCGGGGCGGGGACGGCATTCGCCCCCACCCGGGGGGCGGGGCGTCGGTCGGGCAGTGGCGCCAAGGCGTTCCCCCAGCGTGGGGTCCCCCAGCGTGGGGTCGGGGGGCAGGTCCAGCGGTGCGGATCCCTAACTCTGGCGGCCTCCCCAAAGGGGTCTGACTACCTACCAGACCACCCCAACCCAACCCGAAGACCCGAATTTCGGGTTGGGGGGGTTACGGGTTCCATATATGTTTGTTCCATGTTCCCCGACCCCCCCCCCAACTGGAAATGGAGGGCACATTGAGGCCTTCGGGTTGGGTTGGGGTGGTTTGGTGGGTGGTGAGGGTCCGAGTCCAGTCAACCCGTATCATCAGGACGCACGATAGGGATGCAAGGGCCTTGAGGAAAGCCGTGCAGACCCTTTGCGAGCGGGGCGCGGCCCGCAAAAGCGGCCAAAGATGGCCCGGGGGGGAGGGATGCACGGGTGGGGTGAGCTTGGAAAGTACATCATTCTCACTGTGCGGGTTGACTGTAGGCGGGGTCGAAGGATCGCGCCACATCGCTGATACATCGCCGATGAATCGTCGACGACTGCGATGCGAAGGCGACGTCGGCGTGGAGAAAATCGGGCCCCACATCGAGCCGCATCGGCGATGCATCGGCGATGCGGTGTGATCCCCAGACACCATCTGCTCGGACCCCAATGGGAAGGACTAGACTAACGCCTTACGACTTGCTGACATAACGGCGGCCTGGAGAACAATGCGACGTTCTTGACCACGTCCTGGTCCACCTCTGGGGAGGGAGCCGGGCTCAAGCTGGACCGCGGACAGAGAGACCATAATCGAATCGATAAACCGGACTGCCGATCGACATGAGTCGGATCGGCGGAAATCGGCAGCCAAGTCGGAAGAAATCGAATCGGCCGAACTCCAAATCGGAATCCGAAACCGCATCGAATCTGAATCGGACGCGACCGACATCGAATCGAGCCGGGGGCGTCGAAATGAGCCCTGCCACGGCGCCTCCCAAGGCATCCAGCCGCTCCATCATTTTTAATGCGCGGGCCCTGGAGGTCTGAACCACTTCCCCAGGGTAGGGTTTTCGTCCTGGATCGTTTTTCAGCGGTCCCCGGAGGACGAAAAAATCAAAACAAACTCACGTCACGATTTGTTCGCACAGCCGACGACGGCCAAAAACTCGCCACCCCAATGTTGTTGGAGCGTCGGCTCTATGGGTCAGGGGCCCCGCTGCCGATTGGCGCCGCGCACAAGGAGGTAAAGGGAGGGGCGAAGGCCTCTTAGAAGGAGGCTGCTTCTGAGAAGGCGCCAGCCCTACATCTTCAGATAAGGCCCGCGCCTTCTGAGCAGCTGATGGGCGCTTCGAAGAAGCCTCCCCCCCTCCCCCTGCCCCGCGTTCTGGATTCTTGTGGCGAGCAGCGCATGCCGACGCTCGTGCAGCCCTTCTCTTTGTTTTCGGGGGGGCGGGGGGGACGGGTCCTCGCGGGGGGGGGGCCCTCGTCGCCTCGGCCGGCGTCCACCTCGAAATCCTGGCGGGGGTGCGCCTCAGGAGGGGATCTGGCGAGCAGCGGCATCGGCATCCCTCCTCGGCATCGTCAGACCTGCCACCAGACCCTCGAAGTCGTGACTTTTCGCACAACATCGACCCCCAGAGGTCTGGACCCCTCCCGCGGCGTTGCGGGTTGATCCAGATTTTTTTTAATGGACGGAGCTGAAGCCCCGTGAGGCCCCCGTGGAGACCGAAGAGAGAGAAACCCTTTTCGCCGCGAGTTCTTCACAACGCGAGGGGCTCTGGGTCCCCATCCCGCAAGCACCAGGGATTCTCGGTGCCACCATCGGGGGCGCGCAAACATGGATTAGCGATCCATGGATTTGGCGCGCGGTCGCCTAATCCATGGATTGGGGGAGTTGCCCTCCCCAAAATGCCGCCCGTGCCGCTTCGCTCGGCGGCGGAAATCCGCAATTTCGGGTGGAAGCGGGACCCGTCGCTAATCCACGCCCCCTCGATCCATCTTTGCGATCGCCCGACCCGCGCGTGGCCCCCGTGTGGTGCCCCTCGCCCCAAAAAACATCCGGCTGTTCCCAGTTTTTCGGCGCGCGGGCCCCGGAGGTCTGGACCACATCCCCAAGGCCGGTCCTTCGTCCTGAATCCTTGGCTGATTATTCTGGGGACCTTCCTGGAGCCACTCGCCACTCGTGCGTCGAAGCTGCGCCGAACGTCGGTCGATTCGAGCCGATCTTGGGGACGGCTCCGTAATGCGCTTCGCGCACGGAAAGGCCGCACATGTGCGCGCTACTGTGAGACCGTGAGACAGCGAAACGTCAGACGCTGGAGGACACACGCACGAAGGCAGAGAGGGACGCACGACAAGCGAAGACGGGAGGTCCCCAAAACAAACATCAGATAATCCTTTCTTTCGACGGCCCCGGGGCCGGGCGAGGGCCCCTGGAGGCTGAACGCAAGAAAAACAACAAAAACGCCCAACGTTTTTTGGAGCGCCGGAACTCGGGGCACTCGTGTGCTGCCCCGGCGCATGGCCCCCACGAGGGCGTTTTTTGTGGCCCCCCTCCGCATGTGGCCTCCTTCGGGGTGGGAAAGGTGCAGGGTCAACTTAGCCAGCTCGAACGAGCCACAGGGTTCCGTCCATTCCCACCCGCCCTCCCACAACATAAGAAGCAAGTGCGTCGCGTCCGGCGCCTGTCGATCACCTCATATCGTGGGCGGCTGGACGTCCAGCGCGCAACATGATCTACGTCCTATTCCTGCCGCGCATTGAGCAACGTCGACGAGAAACAAGACCGCGCGCGATGTACGCCGCGCCCCGCTCTGGCCTCTCATGTTGCATCGTCGGCGACAACATGTCCAGCGCGCGAGGTTCGCCGCGTCTCATTCCAGCCACGCGCGTTGCACCGCCAATCGTTTCGTTCCTGCCGCGCATGGAGGAGGGGGAGGAGGAGGCGGAGGAGGAGGGGAGGGAGAGAGGGAGGGAGAAACTGAGGAGGAAGAAGATAATGCCACTTGGGAATTCGCAGGGCGTCCTGGGAACTTTCCGGTATACGCCTGAGGGCCTCTTGGATATATCTTCCGGGGTGGAACATTGTCAACACAAGTAGGCGCTAACCTCGCAATCCTTCAAGCACCAAATGATCAAACACCAAATCGAAATCAATATTTGCTTTGCCCCCCAGGACCTCCTGGACGCCTTTTCTTCGACCTTTTTGGGGGTCTCCTGAGGCACTTGCTTGAGTCGCGCTTGCTTGAGGCATTAAGATTCGCCGCCAGCCCAGCTCCTCAACCCGACGGGCCGCAGCGTCGACGACAAGAAAGTCCATGTTGACGAGCAGGCGTCCCCGCGCGATGCGCGCCGCGTCCCATTCCCAGCGCGCGACTCGCAGCGCCGACGATGAGAAAGTACATGCTGGCAAAGAAAAGGTCGACGTTGCTATGTTTTTTGACAGGTAGGACGGGGGGGCCCGCGTAGGATTGGCCAGGCGTCCGCGCGCGATGCGCGCAGCGTCCCATTCCTGCTACATTTGTTTGCAGCGTCGACGACAAGAAAGTCCAGGGTGATGCGAACAACGTTGACTTTATATTGAATATTGATGGGCAGGACGCGACCACCCGCTTGGGGTTACCCAAGCGATGTCCATTCCGTCCTATTCCTGCCACGCTCTTCGCAACTCGGCGACATGTTGACGAGGAAAAATAAATAGCTTGTGTTTTTGTTTGACAATTCGGACGGCGGGGTTGCTATGGGCCGGCTAGGTGGGGATGTGGGGGTGTTTAATCATAAGAAGTAAGGATGGGGTTGTCTGGCCCCGCAGCGGGGCACCAGGCTGGCGGGCGGCTCGTGGCGGCGCCCACACGACAAAGACAGGGACAACGAGGACGCAGAGAAAGAGGCAGACATGGCAGAGACAGGGAGTCAGAAACCGAGAGGCACGGCGAGACACGAAAACTGATGGAGGGGTGTCTGCACACACACACACACATATATATATATATACACACATATACACATATGTGTCGGTATATATGCAGGTAGGTAGGTAAGTATATAGGTGGGAATGCTTGTATGTATGTAGACACGCCTGCCTCAGAGCCAAATGATGCGTATGTCTGGGGGAAGCACATGTATGCACATACATCGATGGATACACACGTATTCATATATATACATATATATATATGTATATATGTGTAAATCTATATAAACTAAGTGTATTTATAGTTGTACACATGCTATGCTGCAGGGCGAGAGCGATGCAGAGAGAGAAAGAGAGACTGCACACAAGCGAACAACAAAACTAGCGGCACCAGAGTGAGATATGTGTACATGCGTAGGTGTATGATAACACGTGAGAAATATGTAAACCACTCTTTATACGTGATCACGCATCAAACTATTCGACAACATTTTCTAATAAACTATAACTTCGACAGGGAACACGAGAGAGAAAGAGCGGGAGAGAGAACGATAGAGAACAACAAACACAACCAACGACATACATACACACACCGACACTGTGCGAGCGCGCGCGAGAGTGAGAGATATGACTGGTATATATATATATATATATGTATACATATATATATACACAGACACACATACATAGGATAACAAGACGTAGGCTGGGAGAAAGGGGGGGGAGAGAGAGAGAGAGAGAGAGAGAGAACACATAACAACAACACAATCCATATAGAGAGCCGGTGAATGGATACATGAATCTAGGGCCACAACGCCTGAACGACAGAAAGGCAAACAGACGCAGAGGACACAAACATGTGGAAAACAGCAACATGGAAGACGACGAGAAAGAAGACACACAACACAAACACAGAGAAACATAGACATAAAGTGTCAGAGAGAGAAGACAGAGACAGATGGGGAGCGGGAAAGAGAAAGAGAGAAGAGAGAGACGCGACCACACTGCCCGTCGAAATACGACTCATCGGCACACATCCAGACATTAATGACAGAGACGGGTAAGACGAAAGTAGGTGGAGGAAGCAGAGAATGATGACCAACACGCGGCAAAAGGAATCATGCCAGACGCCATAACAAACATCTAAACGTAAACGCGGCCACGAGCCAACCAGATCGAGCAATAGCAACAAGAGAAACAATAGCGAGAAACAGTAGCGCATTGGCGGGACAAAGCCCAAAACATCTTCGTTTTTCTCTTCGTCGTCCCCTTGTTCGACCAGAGTGACGGGGTAGATACTTACTCCGACGGTTGAACCCCGCATAGCAATACTCCGAAGTGGTTTCGAAGTAGCTATCATCGTTGTCTTCGTGATCGTGGAGGCCATATTCCTGTCTCCCTTCTCCTCTGTCCGCTTGCTCTGGCGGAGATGTTCCTCCCGCCCCGTGCTGTGCCTGCTCCTCGCTCCTCCTCTTTGTCCTCCTCCTTCTTCTTCTTATCATCGGCATCAGCATCACCACCACCATCACCATCACCATCAGCATCATCCCCATTCCCCCCCCCATCATTTTCATCATCCCTTCACCTCCTCTTCCTCCTCTTCCTCCTCCTCTTTCTCCTCATCCTCATCCTGCCCCCCTCCTCATGCACCTCCTCCGCCGCCACCCTTGCACGGGCGTGCACGTAGATTTCTCACGGTTCCGTCGCCGACGCGGCAGGCTGAGGCTCGCCCTTTGATGGCCAAATCACGCCGTTGGAGCAACCCCGCAGACCAGGTCACCGGGACAATTCTCACGGGCCGCTGGGGCGCTAGATCAATCCCGTGGGACAAACCCAAAACACCAAATGGACGACAGTTACAGGATCTGGATGGCCCGGTCGGATTACTCCTTAGCGCGATCTGGCCGCCCCCTGAAAAACGGTGCCCACATTTTAGATGAAATTGCCTGGCAGTCCTACCAACTCTCAAAGCTCAGTGGGGTTTAGCGAATTGTTTTTCAGTTATATGCGACAGCCCCTCCTTCCTCTGCGCAGGGGAAGGGTTTATCATTGGCCTTTTTAGTGGAAGCTCTTTCCCCCAACCGACTTTGGGCACAACCAAGACATGCCCCCAACCCCCTCCCACGTACGTGTCAAACAAACAAACCCGAATACACTTTGCCTCCAGATCTCGAACATGCGCGGGCGCCCCGAAACCACTCCACGTTGATGTTTGAACATATGGTGTCTGGGCCAGCATGCTACCTCTTGCGCGCAAGTTGCGGCAACCCGACCGTCCTTTTCAAACAAAAATGCAACATCCATTGTGTCTCCATACGGAACATGCGCGGGCGCCCCGCGACCACTCGGCGGGCGCCAACGACCACTTTGCATGGCTTTTGACAAGGATGGCGGGGGTGCCAGCAGATTGTTTTGATGCGCGCAAGCCCACCATCCCTGCCCCCAAAAAAACAAATAATGCACATCGCCTCCAACTCTGAAGCACGCGCGGGCGCCCCACCCACCATTGTAATTCGGGTTCGACATTTCTTGCCCGAGTTTCGCGCCAACCAACTGTCCTTGTCAAATTACTCCGACGGTAGGATCTCGCACGAGAGAAACTTGAGTTTGCCCTTAGGTCGTTCCTCCTCGCCCTGGCGGACACCATCCTCTCGCCCTCTGCTCTGCCCCCCCCTCTTCCTCCCGCTATTGACCCTCCTCCTCCTCCTCCTCCTTGTTCCACCTCCTCTTCGTCAACCCCCCCCTTCCTCCTCCCCCTTCTGTCTCCACCTCTTCCTCCTCCTCCTCCTGCCTCGTCTCCACGTGCGCCTAACCTTCTCCCTGGTCGGGGCAGACCGTCCGATGTTCCTCGGTGCCGTCGCCGCTTCGGCCAGCGCGCGCGCGCGTTCGCCGACGGCTAGATCGCGAAGCCCCGCGGGCCATCCTTTTGGGACAAACCCTCGGGCCGCTGGGGCGTGGAGGCAGGCCGTCGGGACAACGCCGCGGGCCAGGCGGGCCTCGAGGTGGACGCGGCCGCGCTCAGGCGAACACTCGTCAATTCCAGGCTCGCTCTGCTGACCCGGTTAACTGGCACGAGACCACAACCATTGGGGATAAAGAAAAGCGGCATCGTCCCAACAGATACCCACCACCAACTCGCCCACCAGCTCAACCACGACAAACACAGAGGTATCCCAGGGGCGGCGTGTTGCCACAGTGAAGGGGAACATCCCACCATGCGTCGTAATCCAGCCACAGGTAAGACGTGAGACTCCGCGGCCAACCGCTGGAACATCACAAAGCGTACTGGGCATGCATTGTCAAGGAAGAACAGCACAAGGCAAAAACAGTACAAGGTAAAATCAGTGCTGCCCGGGACTAGCCGCCCGAGGTCACCTCTGGCGCCGCTTGGACTTAGCTGCGGCGTCCCGCGATGGGACTCGTCATGGCACAATGACAACGCCCTCCCGCTTAACAGCCACCTTTCGAGAAGTAGCGGATGCAGACCACTTCGCAGGGGCAGGCAGGCATGTCGGTGTCGGGCAGGGCGGTGGACGAACAGGCCTCGGAAGGCTTCGCAGCGGTAGGCTGGGAAGCTGAACCGGCAACTGGGCCTCCTGAGCTAGATGCGGCTGCGCCTGCAATAGGGCTCTCGTCCAGGGGGTCCAAGGCCCCCGCCTCGTCCACGGACTCGTCCTCCTCCTCCTCCCTGGCCCTGCCGTACCATCGATCAATATCCGATTCCGCCTCGAGAATGTCGTGCTCGCGCTCCGCGGCGAAATCCACCTGGGGCCACGGCTGGAAGTGCATCCAGTGTTCCGGCCTGTACCCGTAGAGCTCATCCATGTCGAAAGCAGCAAGAGTCTCGGGCGTGGGGCCAGTCGAACCAGACGACGCTGACGCGATCCAAGGCGATGGCCTCGGGCTCGTAGTCATCGTCCTTGGGGTGAATACGTGAATCATCACGGCGGACCTCGACCGCGACCTTGCCGTTAGGCGCGTGGCCGGCCACCTACCCAACCCGCCCATTGAGGGTCCGGCCTCTCTGGCTCGTGAGACCGACTATTTCCACGTCCAGGCGAGCCCTCCCGTTCATATCACCACCGATCAGGCCGTCGCTACCGACAAGATGCGAGAAAGACTGACAGACTGCATACGGCAGAGTGCCATTCCCCATCAATGCATGAATGAGGCGATTGTGCTGAGGATGCGTCAGGCGCGTAACACAGAAGAAAATCCAATCCCCGATGAGGCGTAACATGACGGTGCACGTCGATACCAGGCTCGTCATCCTCAAGATTGTGCATGCCAACGGCATCCCACGCCTCAACCGCTTGGGCCGCCAGGGTGCCTGGTGCACCTGAACTCCCGGCGCAAATGGCATGCGTGCCGCTCCTCGGCGATGTGCTGAGGCTCTGGTACTACGTATGTGTTGGGAGGGCGGGTGGGATGAAACGAGACGGCTTGCGGTCACGGGGGGTGCCTCGACACCTCCCACTGCCCCCTCCCCATGGCCTGAAAGGGGTGGGGGGGCGCCAGGCTTTCGAGCGCCCACGATGGCCCAAGATCGCTCCAAGAGGTCCCTCGGCAGCCCAAGAGGGCCTCCAAGATGGCTCAAGATACCACAGCATCGCCCAAGATAGCCTCCGACAAGCCTCCAAGACGCCCCAGTACGGCCCCCAGAGTGTTCCAAGTGCCACTCCCGCCTCCCAAAACACCTCGTAAGAGGCCACAGTCCTTTAAACTCCTAGGGTCAATCGAGGTTTTGGGGCTTGTCGCATTTTCGCATCCGATGAGCTTGTTGGGCCTCACGGTGGCTCCCAGATAGCCCTACACAGGCCCAAAAGGGGCCTAAGACGGACCAAAGGCGGTCCCAAACACGACCATAAGGCACCCACGAGCGGCCCAAGAGGCCCCCAAAGATGCCATCTTGGAGCTTCCGAAGGGGGGGGGGGGCCTGAATTGATCCCCCCTTTTTTTGGTCGATCTCCTCCAAGATGGCCCCAGGGGAGCCCAAAGGTGAGCCCAGCACCACCAGGGAGGCGCCCAGCACCACCAGGGAGGCCCTCAAGAGGCCCCCGCGAAAAACCAAAGCGGTTCCGAGAGGCTCCCCCGAAGCATCGGACACGCTCCAAGAGGCCCCAGGGAACACCAAGAAACCTCCACCTCCTCCTCCTCTTCCTCCTCCTCCTCCCCCTCCTTCTCCTCCCCCCAACGGGGCAAGAGTAGCTGGTTGTGTTCGAAACCCGTTCGGATAAGCATTGGCAGCGTTGTGGGACCCTGCATCGGGACCGCCCCCCCGATGACACAAACGTGGCAGGCCGGCATATATCGAAACATACAACATCTGTCGCCGCCCCCCCCCCGCACCCCCAACAACGGCATTCAAGGTGTCTATTGCACAGTAATTTGCAACGCATACATGAAGCCTATATGGTGGGGATACTTTTTGTTCGCGAGCGCGCAGGGGTGCCAGGCGCCGTCAAGGAATTTTGTGGTGGGGATACGCGAAGCGTCACGCATTCAGTCACAAACGAGGCTCACGCTCGAGACGTCCTCCATATCCACACCTCAACAGCCCGAAACTGAGGTCAACTACAGGATCTGGATGAACTCGGATTACTAACATGACCTGGCGGCCCTATAGGGAGGGGGCCCCGCCCGAGACGTCCTCACACGTCACTCACAGGCATGGCTCCCGCTCGAGACGAGACGTTGTCCAAATCCAACCCTCAGGAGTCTAGAAGTGACGAGCTACACGATCTGGATGACCCGCTCGGATTGCTAACATTGACTGGCGGCCATAAGGGGGGGGGGCTCCCGCCTGAGCCTTCCTCACAATTCACTAGCAGGCGAAGCTCCCGCTCGAAACTTCCTCCAGATCCACGCCTCAGGAACCCAAGCGTGACGACAACTACAAAGATTTGTCGGCCCCATGGGGAGGAAGCTTCAGCCTGAGAGTCCCAAACACACACCACTCACAGGCAAGGCTCCCGCTCGAGACTTCCTCCAGATCCACGCCGCAGGTGCCCCAAAAAGATGATGAATACACGATCTGGACGACGCGCTCGGATTACTAACGTGATCTGGCGGCCCCATATGGAGGGGGCTCCCGCCTGAGACGTCCTCACAATTCGCTCGCAGACGAGGCTCCCGCTCGAGACTTCCTCAAGATGAACGTGTGCATGTTTAGGTGCGAGTGGGAGTGTTAATGAGTGGGTGAGCGCGTACGAGATGAAGATGGTGATGGTGATGGTGGTGGTGATGGCGTTGATGGTGTTGATGATGGTGCTGATGATGCTGATGATGATGATGACGCTGATGATTTTGTAAGATCTGGCCTGCGGCGCTGGTACCCCTGACGGGGGCAGTACGATGGTTGAGGCGCGCAAACGGCGCACCGTCACCTCTTCATCATCAGCTCCTTCTTCTTGCGGTTCCACTCCTGCGCAAGCTTGCTCGTGCCAGGCTGGAGCCCCTGCTGGATCCTGGCGAGGTTCTGCTAGCCCATCTGCTTGCGCTCACCGCACTCCTTCGCGAGCGCCCGCATGGACTCCCGCGCGATGCAACCGCACCTCGTCCAGTAGTGCAGGCCGAACTCCTCGTTGTACTGCACCTTGTGCGACTCGTGGGCCGTCTGGTGCCCGACTCGCACACCTGAGGCCGATGCGCCGAACTCCGTCGCCTGGCCCCGCTCCAGCTTCACGCACTCGCCCTCCAACCACTTCTCCGTGTCTGTGCCGGCGACGGGTACCAAGCTCCCGCACCTTGAGCAGCGGAAGTGCTTGCCTCCGTTGACCGTCTCGATCACGTGCTTCGTGTTGTCCAGGCGTTGCTTCCACCTCTTCTTCTTGAGGTAGGCCTCGTGTCGCTGGGGTTTGCTGGGAGCCATGGACGGCTCCACCTCGATGGCCGCCATCAGCGTCGCCTGCCCTCTTTTCCTGATCAGCGTGGCGATCCCGTCACACTAGCCGACCCTGCGCGCATCTCCTCGAGTCACCTGCACTCTCTCGATGATGCCGTCCACGAGGCTATCCGCCAGCGAGTTGCCCAGGTAGCAGATCGGGTCCACGCCCGCCGCCACTGCATCCTCCGCCGGCATGTGGCTCTCGACCTTGATCAAGCGCGACACTCTGCCGACCAGGGCCTCCTTCGGCTCGTTCCACAGGTCGACGTGGGTCTTGGGCATCTTGCTTCGACGTATCTTCGCGACGCCTCTCATGACGTAGGGCAAGTCCGCTGTGTACTGCGCCTTCGGGTACTCTCTGGTGGCCACCAAAAACTCCTTCAACGCCATCAGCTCGCCACGGTTCACGCTCTGCCTCCATCCGCTCAGTGCGGCGCGTGAGGCTGCAACCACCATCGGGTCGTTCGCGTTCTCGATCTGCAAAACGACCCAGCCCCACGCCCCACGCCTGAGCCTGGGGTCCATGGTGTTCTAGCCTCCCGACGCGTCGCCTGCCGCGATGAACCACCCTTCTTCGCCTGCAGGGCTTGCCTCCCCTAGGTCGGTACTCTCTGCCCTCGATTGCCCTTCGGGCTGCGAAGGTGAGCAGTGCGTACCTGGGGAGGCAGTGCCTCTGAGGTTCTCTATGGTGCCGATCTGCTCGCGTAGCTCTGAACCTGGCTCTGGGGGAGGAGGTACCTGCGTCCACGACTTGGGCAAAATGCCTCTGAGCCACAGGCAGGGCAACTCCTCAACGCCGCGTGTGCTGCGTGCCCCTCAAGGTGCCGGGACTTCTGGCACGCCTCGATATGTTCGTTGCACTTGCACTCCCACATGCGATGCTCCCACGTCTCTGGTGCTTCTCCACATCGAGGGCATGTGACGTCCTCTATCTCCAGCCCGAGATCGGCCACGCGTTGTCGCGGCCAGACGCCTCCTGTCATGCACGCCAACTGCGCGCCGACCTTATCGTACTCGCCCTTCTTCCTGAACCTCTTGATGTGTGCTCTCGCCGAGCGCATGTCGACGCCCTGCTCCAGGCCGCCGCCTGCGTAGTGCTTGGCCGCTGGCTGCCACTGCTTCTTCTCAATGGTGCTGGCGATCGCCTGCTTGAGGTCGCTGGTGTCCACGTTGCCGTCGACAGCCGTGGGGTCCTCGCTGCCGAACTCCTCGCCGTCGTCCGAGACCCAGTGCCACGGCCCCAGCAACGTCCAACCTGATGATGCTGATGATGATGAGGCTGACGACGATGACGATAACGATGACGATGATAATGATGATGTTGATGATGATGGTGGTGACGGTTGAAAAGCGTGTATGGGTAATGTTGATGGTGGTTGTGGTGACGGTGTTGGTGATGACGATGCTGCTGAAAATGATGATGCTGATGCTGAGACTGCTGCTGATGCTGATGCTGATGCTGATGATGGTTACGATGATGATGTTGGTGGCGCTCCTGCGTGGGGGCGTCAGGCAAGACCATACTCCAAATTAGGACGTGGGGGACAAGAAAGAGAGAGAGAGAGAGACAGACAGACAGAAAGACAGAGACAGGAAACGCGACCCTCCTCCTGCTCCTGATTCATCCCCCTCCCCCTGTAGAACCAGGGGACGAGGGCCCCCTCCCGTGGAGGCGAGGAGCGGGGCCCACGGAGCCATCCTCGTGCCCTCTGCTCCCCCACCCCCGACGTCGTGATTTTCTCGCGACGTCGACCCCAGAAGTCTCGACCCCTTCCCCGGGATTGTTTTTTCGTCCTGAGTGGTTGCTTGACGGCCTGGAGGCCCGAAAAGGGCTCAGAGGGCGAAAGTAGCGAAAAACCTCCCGTCGCGATTTTGTTTCACAGCGCGAGGGGGTTTGGGTCCCCCCTCCTGGAGAAGGAAGACGACGTCCTGCCAGCACGGCGCGATCCTGCGCGACGCGGCGCGCCCACCCCGCCCGCCTGGTCCACCGACAGCGCGTCGCGCGCAGCCTTCCCGGCCTGGCGGCGTGCGAGGATCAAGCGATCGGAGCTCCTGGACGTCTCCGTTGCCCCAGACCACCGTGACGGCGATGTTGGGAATGTGGTTTTTGCGACGCCTCCTCCTCCTTCTCCTCCTCCTCCTCCTCCTCCTCCTCCTCCTCCTACTCTCGAACTCAAAACACGAGCAGCGCGTTCCTACAACTGGGGCGGCCACGAACCAAGTCCACCCACAATTCCGAAGTCTGCATCGCCGCGACTTGCATCGCCGTTATAGCGTGCCTGCGGGGTGTTGCCTTCTGGTGGGGCCTCCGGGCGCTCGCAGTGGGCCTGCTGTTTCTCCCCACCTTCGAGGAGAGCGGGCGATGGCTTCAACATCCGTCACGATTTTCCGCGCCTGGGACGGAGCGTCCCACTCCCAAAATCCTGGGTAGTGAAGCTCGTGTCG